CTCGCACGCAAAGTTGGCAAAATCGCTAAAAGTTGCCAAATCAACCGTTACAAATGTAATTAAAGTGTTTGGGGAACTTTGTCGACAGCCAGGAAGTCTGGATTGGGGGGAAATCGAAAACCGGAAGCCGCTGAGATGACAAAGAGAGTTGCCGGTAGTTTCAAGCGAACCCCTAACCTCTCTCTCCGAGATGCCGCAAATAAGCTGGGTGTATCGTCTACAACCGTGCATCGAGCCAAAAAACGAGCCGGACTATCGACTTACAAGAAGGTAGTGACTCCAAATCGCGATGATAAACAAAATACGACGGCCAAAGCGCGATCTCGGAGGCTGTACACGACGATGCTGACGAAGTTTGACTGCGTGGTAATGGACGACGAAACCTACGTCAAAGCCGACTACAAGCAGCTTCCGGGACAGGAGTTTTATACGGCAAAAGGAAGGGGAAAGGTAGCAGATGTTTTCAAGCACATGAAACTGTCAAAGTTCGCAAAGAAATATCTGGTTTGGCAAGCCATCTGTACCTGTGGCTTAAAAAGCAGCATTTTCATAGCTTCCGGGACTGTCAACCAAGAGATTTACGTGAAAGTGTGTTTGAATAAACGTCTGCTGCCTTTCCTGAAAAAACACGGTTGTTCCGTACTGTTTTGGCCGGATTTGGCATCTTGCCATTACGGTAAAAAGGCCATGGAGTGGTACGCCGCCAACAACGTGCAGGTGGTTCCCAAGGACAAGAACCCTCCCAACACGCCAGAGCTCCGCCCAATTGAGAAATACTGGGCTATTGTCAAGCGGAACCTAAAGAAGACCAAAAAAAAACTGCTAAGGGCGAGCAGCAGTTCAAGGCAAACTGGCTTTCTGCGGCGAAGAAGGTGGACAAGGTGGCTGTACAAAATCTGATGGCAGGGGTCAAGCGTAAGGCTCGGCAATTCGGATTTGGAAAAGCGGAAGCCTAACTGAATATTTTTCCTGAATTTTATACTAATTGAACTTGAAAAAGAAATTTAATTTGATTTTTTAAATAAACAATTTCACCGATTTACACGCGTTTTCCCTTGACCAAATTTTGACCGTATCACCCTTTAGTGTAGTAGTGTTGCCATGTAGTACACTGAACAATTTCAACAACAGGTTCGTCATCAAAGTTTTCGGGTAGCTCCGTCTGTCACTTCGTTTGTGTTGAAATGGTCTTTAGAATTCCCTAGGATATCTTCTTTGTGTTCTCTAGAGATGATTACAGGAACAAACTTGAAATTCTCCATAAGATTGCTTTGAAATTAAATTCAAAACTTCGTTGAAAATTACCTTGAAATTTTCCTCAAATCTTCTTTGAAATACTCCATACACTTAAAAAAAATATCATGTAAATTTAGGTGCTCTGAGACTGAGAAAAATGAGTCATCATAACATACCCGAAATACCGCTCAATCAAACGTACTTTTTTGTCAAGTAACGAACTTTCCAATCTCAGAGCGCCTAAATTTACGTACAATGTTTGTTTACGTCTCATCCGGGGAGAGGTAGCTCATCGATTCTTCCGGTTCGCCTCCTAGCATCGTGCTATAAGGTACCAGGCGATAACCAGGGTAGTTGATCGATAGCTCGATGACGTCATTTCGTTGGCGTCTGCCATGGGAAATTCTCATAGCATGCGTTGACGATGGGACGTTGTCGAGTTGTTGAATAGCAACTATCGTGGTAACTCACCGATTACCTGTCGATCTGCCAAATTTGGAAAGACGTCTGCATTGAATTGTCTCATATAATAATATTCCGCCCACTATATCACAAGAAATTGCGAGTAGCTGAGCGGAATGGAGATAAGTTAAGCATTAGGTACAGGACCAAGTCTCCCCTGGGTGGTGCCAAAAGATGAGCGCAATAGAATCATCAAGATGCCATAAGGCACGGAATGAGACTATTGCATGGCTGGGTAGTCAAAGTCTTCCATTCGTTAGTCATTTCAGGTGGATTAGAACAGGTTTACTGCCGCTATTCGCATAACAGTCCTATGTCCTATGGATTTCATATCTACATGGGACTGTTATGCGAATAGCGTTAGTTTAGGTGGGCGTTGGCCAGATTTGGATTTTTCAGATGTAATCCTGGATAGGACCCTGTCATTAAACGTCGCGTGAAAGTGGAACTTAATCAAGGCCTAAGTACTTTTTCGTAGTTTTTAGTTTTCGGATTTGAAAGATCGTCGGTTACAGTGGCCTGCTTACTGAGCAGAAAAACGCGGTCCCAGGTCCTTACATATCAAAGTGATTTATGGTAAAATCGCTTGTGTATCGTGTATTTTGCGAAACTCGTTGTTGTCGTTGGTTCCGGGTTTGAATGGATACACAAATTTGAGCAACGGTATTATGTGATATGAGGGGCTCGGTGGCCTTAGAGCAACCGTTTTTGCTTACTGAGCAGAACATCATGAGTCTAATCTCAGGCCCATCCACATTCAAGATTCGTCAATCGTTTTATTTGTTAATATGACTACATGGTAATAACAGCAACTCGGTGATTAAAAAGGTGCTCGTCTGCCTAGTGGCAAACGTTTTTGCTTACTGAGCAGAAGACCGTGGGTTTAGTCCCAAGCTCCTTCGCGTTATATGATCGTTATGACATCAATTCAGCTTATCGTTTACCAAAACGAACCCTGCTGCAAACCCAACCCTCTTATCCAACATCCCAGTGATTCCTCGTGGAAGTGCAGAGGTGTTCTCGGCTTCCATCAAAGCGAGTGTCATGTCAACACAATCCTTCCCATTCCTTTCTTGACCTGTGTTCGGGCGCGGCCGGCGCTGGTATTGCCTAATTTAAGATCACCAGTTTTTACACATTGAGGATGATTGCTAGTCCCAATCTTATTCAAATGTCGTAATAATATCTCTGACCAAGGAAAAATGATTTATATAGTTTTCATAAAAGTTGACGATACAAATACTAATGAGGAAAGGAATTCCGCATTTCCTTTTCCCAAGTCCTTTTCCTCTCCTTCCCTTCCCTTCTTCTCTTTTCAGAAAGCGAGTAATGGCGCTATAACCATATGCCATATAGGGCTAGGACAAGAGTTAGTGCTCAGGTCCCAACCGCTAGAAGAAAATGGTAGCGAGCAAGGGCGCTATAACCTAGGCGAATACAGCATTCCCTCCGTATAGGTTACGTCCGCACACCGCTCTCTGTTGTCCTTCGACTGAGGTCGGCTGGATCGATTGAGGGATGGCAGTGGGTTGGTGGTGCCGTCCACGCTTGTACGGAGGGAGGACTGTACGCTCGAACACATGTTCCATCCCAGGAGATCGGACAACCAAGGAGTGTACATTAACTTTCTTAGCTCTGTCACTCCCAACGATTTATATAGCCTATTTTCAAATCCTGCATACGGAGCGGTTGGTACGGTATGTCCTCGCTCTTTGATTACCTGTGGATTAAATGTTAACCACTGTCTATACTTATTAAGTAGACATGGTAAACATTCACTTCCACAAAAATTAACTAAACGCTACACAGTAGGCCTGACCGCTTTATTGTTTGTTTCACATCCTTGATGTGCAGCAGGCATTAATAATGACAAGAAAAATGATAGATGTATCATTTTCCAGGATTCTTTCAAGTACTGGCTGTGTATGTGTAGACTAGACTAATGTTTGTTTACGTCTCATCCACTATGTCAAAGATGTTGTGACGGAGTAAAATTAGTTATTTTTGAGTGTGTTCTGTTCCAATCATCCACAGAATGTTCTTAAAATTTGTTTTCAGAATTGTCTTTGGGTTATCCTTCTTTTCAAATAATTCTACTTATAAGTACCTTGAAGCTCTTCTTACAAATCACTTAGAAAGACTCCTCAAAATTACTTTGTAGTTTTAGTCAGAACTCTCTTTGAATTCTCTTCGAAATTGCCTTAGAATGATCCACAGAATTCGCTTTAAAATTTACTTTCAATGCTACTCAGGATTAGGATTTCCTTGGAATTCTCCTTGCGTTTGACCTTTTTTTTTTCTTTAGAATTTTTTGCTTTAGAAATTTTCAACGAATTCATTTATTAAAGTTCATAAGCTTTGAAACTTATTTTAAATCTGGGCTTTTGAAATTTAGTCTATGTCCGTAGTATTAATATATTTATTTTCGTTCCAGAATCTTGAAAGTTTCTCCAAGTTTGATTTCATTATGACCAGTGTTGGCAAAATCATCAATCAAATAATAATTTTCATGCTTTATATTGATTTTACAAGCTCCTTCGTTATTGCGAGACTATTCACAACGCGCAAAAATCAAGCTGAGAGCTGACTCGACACAAAAATGATTCCGTTCCACATCGTTTTCTTAGAAAGAGAAAGTATAGTTTGCTATCTTTTTTTAATCTTCACCGAAGGCGGACACGATCACTGCTGCCAGCCATTATGGAAGATTCGGTTGCATTGGGGTGTAAAGCAAAAATCATTAAACTCAATCTCAACACAGTTTGGTGAGATTTGCAGCTGGCGAGTTTTGTTAGCTTGATATTTTGAGCTGCAATATCACAGCTTGCAAAATCAACCGCAGATGTTTGCTTGATGATTTTTGTCTACGAAAATCAAGCGTTATCTTGGACATTAGTGAGATTGGGTTTTTTTTTATATATTTTTTCAACACTCATTAGGACCAAGATTAAAGTCAGTAGAAATTTTCCATGCTCAAGAATCTTAAAAAACACAATTGAAGGATCAGAATTTATGTTGTTATTAATGATAAATCCACTCCGGAATTATTTCGTTAAAACAGTAACTAACGAGGAAGATAAAGTTGGTTGTATTAGGTTCTCTACCGTACTTCAATATGTTAGATTCTTAAAAAATTTGCTTGTTAAAGGAATTTGAAAATTCCCAGGTTTTTTAGGTAGTAGATACCCTGAATGTGTGCGAGGTCTACCCCATTGCCGCCAACCTCGTCCGGGTTCTCACTGAATATAATTATTTTCAAAACGATCCTTTCTCTTAACCCTTCAATCATTCTTCTTCCCTAGATCCACCGCTTACCCTACCAGCTCATCACGTACCGCTCGTTCAAGGGCACCCCGACCTACTCGTCGCTGGACATGAACCCGCACAGTCAGGTCCTGCAGGACATCTATCGGACGATGCCCCCGTTTCAGACGAGCCTATCGATAATGTGCGAGATTTCCATTCTTCACATCTACACCAAAAGCGTCCACAAGATGATTATCGTGAGCGACCTGGTGACGACGGTTTCTCCAGCACTGCTCGGTCTGGATGGATCGCACAACCTACGGAACGGTGATCCGGACAATTCGGCCCTAACGGTAAGTGGTGCCCGATCGGTTGTCGGGGGCAGCAGCAGTAGCACCATCTGGTGGCTACTGGCGGTAGCAGTGGCAGTAGTGTACCATTCCGACAACAGAGTGCGACGCTTGTGACCGACTTCGGTGGCAGTGTAAATAGATGTATGAATGTTGAGCTCCCATGTAAGGTGGGGAGCGGCAAATATGGAAATTGGGAATACACAGTCACACAACAACACACACACACATACACACACAAACATTCACTCTCTGAGCGAGCACGGCTCTTACAATGAGCGGCAGAAACTAAACATTATATTTATACAGAATCCATATAGGAAAGGATGGGACAACCGAAACTGTTGTTAAGATGTAAAATATATGTATTTGAGCTTTTTACTAAACGTAACCACTTAGGCATACCATTCCGATTGCTTCACTCGACGATTGTGCATATTGTGAGGTGGAGATGAATTGGTTGAAATTAGTTTTCGTTGAAACAGCGTTTCGGTCGTTTTTGCAGACTAATGCAATCCCTGAGGAAGGCTTCGGATTCGATCGAAACGGTGATGAACCTTTGTCACAAATTATTCAAATCTTCAACCTGATTTCACTTGAATGCAAAGCAAACTCTCCACAATCAGAAAATAGAAACAGAGCAACCCTCACATAACGTGTAAGTCAAGCAAATCAATTAAACAAACAATAATGTAATCCAAAAGTGAGAGAGAAAAGGCAACAAAAGCAACCGATAAGCAGAAGTCACAAACCATAATATGTAAGCAACGTGTTTCGTTACGCAAACATACAAACCACACTTATTCGATAGAAGTACCATGAACGAAGGAAAAGGAAAACGCTGATTGATTGAAACAAAATACAAACATTTAGGCAAAAACCCGAGAACAATATGATGTTAGTTTGACATAACCCAAAAACACATAACTAGGTTGATATGGGGATAGTAATGATACTAGCGAAAAGTGGCATGCCATCAAGAACGGTCAATAAAAACTGGATACATTCATTTTTATATAAATGTATAATAATAGCGAAACGAAAATAAAACCAGCTGATTGTAAAAAAAAAAGAAATAGAAAATAACAAACTAATAAATCAAATAAAATTCAAAACCAAAAAAAAAACCAGTTGAAACCTGAGTTGTGGCCGGGGCTCTCATTCGTGCCAAACGCCGCGCAGAATGTAATATAAAGTAAAACAAAACAAACGGTTGATGATAACGCAATCTTGTGCAACTTGTGGGAAAAAAGAAAACTCAGAACTGTAGCAAAATACACTAATCTTCCGCGAAGGTAGAGACAAAGAGCGATGTTTTGTGAAACACTCTGTGCAAACCTAATCTAGAATCCCGCGCAGCAAACGGTGGGATGCTTGTTAAGTGCATATATTAAGGAAAGCAAACAAAAAAAAACAAACAAACAAAAACAATGATGAATAATCTGGACAGTCTGGGAATGGGAATAACCGGGACGTGTTAGACATTTTTAGATTAGGTTGTTTTTTTCAATGACAAACCAAAATCATAAAAATCCGTGAGAAATATTTCCGTTGCCTTGTAGATATTCTTTTGTCAACTGATGTATTGTTCAATTAGCAAAAGATCTCAAATTTGAATTATCAAAAAAAAAAAAGACAATTAAGTTTGAGAAAGAGCATTGATTTCTGCAAAAGAGGGAAGGATAAGAAAACGAAAAGATAATAACATTAAATAGTAGTGAAATTAAAACAAAACTAAGAGAACACGCATGTTATGTTTCTTTTTATACATAAATATTCAACAAGAATGAAAACAAAAAAATAAATCGGTACAACAACAACAACTTAGAATCAAACAGAGAAATTGAATTCTGCAGAAGAATTTCGCGCGGAACATGGTATAGCAAAATGGATGCAAAATTCACGCTAAATTGAAATCCGCCAACAAAGGGGAAAATGTTTTGTTCATTGAAAAGTGAAATGGAATAATAAAAATTATTATTAAGAACGTTTGACTCAAATTGACTGCGATGACAGCTTCCCTTACTCGTTAACATGCATAATGGCCCACTGTGGTTTTAAACGGCCAAAATCGTAAACGTTGCTTATGATAAATAGTGATTTATGTTTCAGGTTGGAAACTGTTCTAGCAAAACACACTAGAATCAGTTTAATAGCACACCAATAGTCTCTTTCTTCACTGGCGAACTGTACTCTTCGACACGTTACAGACTTCTGTATGACACGAGAAATGAACACAAATGAACACTCAAAAATATAACTAATCGAAAATAGAATAAAATTTAGGCATTATTCGATTATACTGTATTGCCATTATTCAAAAGTAATCAGTTTCAGATTTATATTTATACATGACACCGAATATCATGTCATAATTCAAGAGCAAATTTCCATTATGTCGTTAGTAACATTCGCACCAATCCGAGAAAAATAAAGTTTTGTTTTGATGACCGAAAAGTTATTCCTATTTCAAATTAAACACATATAATCTCATAGTGATAGCAATGTTTAACATATTTAGCAGGGTTTTAATCATACAAATGCAAATCGCTAGGTTTCATGCTAAGAAATACTGGTTTTTGAGTCAAAAGTTATTGTACGTCGTTAAGTCAAAGTGTATTTACCAGGATACCCAACAAACATTGAATGTTTAATGAGAGCTTATTCAGGCAAAATTAAGCTTCTTTAGTTAAAAAATTGCTTATTCAGCTGTTAAGGTGATACTCTAAGGAAGCCTTAGCGTGAAACTTTAAAGGCACAAATGTCAGCTTCCACAAAACATACAAATTTGAAATTGCTATTCTCTGTTTGCTGTGCTACTACAAACAGAGAGTAGCAATTTCAAATTTGTATGTTTTGTGGAAGCTGACATTTGTGCCTTTGAAGTTTCACGCTAAGGCTTGCTTAGAGTATCACCTTAATCAACTCAAATTGTTTGTTGGGTATTCGGGAGAATTATCAATTACGTCTCCTAACGTGCAGCCCATTCATCATTTTAGGACCACCGAAATCATCTTAGCAACAAACAGTTCGATTTATTCACTTTAATAATGAGAAAGCGAAACGACGAACGTACACTTTTTACGGGTTTCTCAGCGCTGTTACTTAAGACAAACGGCATCTCCATAGAAATCGCCCAAGTAACATTGCAAGTTTTATTGAGGTTTTAAAGCATGCTACAAGCCTAAATCATGGTCTACAGAACCCTCATAAAACCGAAATTGTTACTTGGGCGGGTGACTTAAGTAACGTCGAAAACTATTTTGATCGGAAGGTGCTTACGTCAAAAAGCAATTTGACTGGTAAATAAATTTAAAAATGGGATGTGATTCTATATTCGGGCAGTATATAGACCTTTGATGTTTAATCGTCTTTCTCTATCTAGCACACATGAATCAATGGACGGTTTGTTTTCCCACTAATCTGTTTCCCTCTTGCTCGCACTCGTTCGATTTAAATGGTGCAGTAGTGTGCGCCGATTAAACGTCAAAAAGCTCTATAGCGTAATAGCAGGAGCATCGATTGACACTGATAGCTCGACTTTTTTTACCTTTGTTACTTTCGACGCAATGAGAATTTGCTCTTGAATTCATCGCTGTGTTTAAAAATTCAGCCGCTTGCTACGCTATGTCATTTTTATCATGAATCGACATTTTCCACCTCTTTCGTCTGTATTCAGAAATTTTTATTAAGTAGCGTTGAGCTAGGGGCAAGACAGCTGTACTCAAAGTAAATATATTTGCAGCGAGCAAATTTGAGCAACTCACATTTATTTAAAATGATCAAAGAAGTCTCAATTTTCTGATCAAAGAGTATATCGTCTGACAGCATATATGGTTTTCAATTTAAATACAGTTCTTAAGCATTAAAAGCCCCAAGGCAGCTTACTCTTGGCTAGACCAGGAATCAATTGGTTAAACCACAAACGAAGTGACAGACGACTAACTGACGAAGAAATCAATTAAAATAATGTGGTTTGCTGTAATAGAATTTACTTAGAAGCTTGTGTCAACAGCCACCAGACGGGCTAGTATTTTTTTTTTAATTTGAACAAAGTTGATTTTGTGTGCAATGATCTTTGCCAGGGTGCAAAGAGTGTATTATTTTGTCCTTTTTTATTCATTTCAGTTTTGAGTAAAGTGAAAGAGATAGAACCAAAACATTCTAGTACATTTAGTGTTGCCATGTGGTACAATCATAGAGGTAACTATAAGACCAGAAGGTCCCGAAGAAACGTGCTCAACTTTTTGGCTCAGCTCTGGTATTATCTTCGGTCCGAAGCTAATCGATGCACCCCTTGAAACATAGGAAAATCCACGAACCCCTCATTTTATCTGTCAAACTTTCATAGCGAATCAAAACAAACATAGAGTAGTACTAGAAGTTAATTGATTTCTTCGCCAGTTAGTCGTCTGTCACTTCGTTTGTGGTTAAACGCTGCCAAGTTGATTGACAGACAATGATTCGGATGTTGGTGATTCGCTGAAGATGACTGAATGGAGATTGGCACGGGGTTTCACAAAGTGTAGATCTGTGAACAACAAAAGAGCAGATTTGGATAAGAAGAATTGGGTTGTTTAGGGGTATTGAGGTAAGTACATATTCGTTAGCTACATTTAAAATGGAACCGCAATCCAAAATGCCATCGATGTTGGTACACTGGACCTATTTTAAATAAGTACGATTACATTAGCAAAAATCACCATCTTTGCACCCCTTGGTGGGATTTTGTAGAGAGCGAGCTGTCAACGAATAGATTTAGTATCAACGATGAAAAAATTAAATTTTGATTTAAAAATCGAGATGAATGTCTACGGGATCGATAAAAATATCGTTGTGCTCAGAAAACAAAGCTCTATCAGTAGATGTATAAAAATTGATACACCCAACCGGTGGATGTAAGATTCGCTTACAATTATGTGGGATTCATCATCAGAGGATGTAAGTGGAGACCGCATAAACCGAGGATGCGATATACCTAACTGCGGTCCAATGCAAGAAAATTGGAGACCGAAAAATGTAGAGTGTATTAGTGAGGTAAATTAATTATGTCGAAACAAAATTGGAAAAAGGTTGCCGACTGGACTCGAACAACGAACGTTGCGATTATCACACCTGTGCTTTCTCCACTACTCTCTCCATGCTTCTGAATAAGGATAGCCTAAAAGCAAACAAGAAGCGCTCATTTCTTCTCACACTCGACTTCGTATGCTTTTTTCTGCTGGAGAGGCAAGGGTGTGCGTCGTTCTACCATGTTATACATAAAAATCAAGGCAAATGCTTGCTTGTGTAGGTGAAAGCACAGACAAAACACGAAATAAAAAAGGCAAAAAACCATTGCATCGCCTGCAAGGTCAACTTCTAACATTCGCTGCGATGTTCATGAACAGAGGCTGATAGGAAATGGAACTAACATTCATTGTAATAGATTTTTGGTTTGCGTGTATATTTTTCAAAGTTAAAAACCCAATTGAACGCTTATCACCTGATTGCGCTCCAGATACGCATCGAGCGAGTTTCGGACTGTTCTACCGGTCTTTGTAGTTTCAGAAACTGCTGCCAGGCATGGAAAATCATTTGCATTAATTTCATACATTCATTTACATTCATTTGCCTCTAACTTTTTTCATCAACAGCATTCCGCAAAATGTTGTATGGAATCTTTGTAGGTTTTGTTATTAACTACAAATTTTGTTCATAACTCAAATCTGTATCTCTTATGCATCACGAACTAGAGCGGGCAGAACATGTTACTGTTTTTCAGTGAATGTAAAATACATATACGATCATTGCAACTGGTCTCACTACGTTGATGACATCTGTCTTTCTCAGGGTGTAGCTGGGTG